AGCATGCAATCCCACCATCACAGAAAGGCAGTGTCAAGGAGAGAAAGCCTGTATTGTAATAGAGAACAATTAAACCATTAGCAAAAAGAAAGCTATTACAGGAGATCAGAATTAGCAGTTGCCAAAGCATCAGAAATCCACTATGATAATGCAATGCTAGACTGGGACTTAGATCTTCCCAATAATCCATCAGATTCTCAGACTGGCCCATCTGATAGTGTTGTTGGGAGGCTAAAATGTGGAGGAGGTTATGAGCCATTTACAACACCTTGAGTTTATTGGGAGAAAGGCAGGAGAGAAATGCAAGGTGATTCCAAAAGAATGGTGAAAAACCAAATAACAGCTTTACTTTCGCTCCATTCTTTTTTAATCACCCTGTATACCTAATACATAAATCAAAAGTCTATGCAAATAAGTCTTCAAAAGATTAACAAATCTATCCCGAGATCTCAAAATGTAAGATGAATATGGAGTTGCTCTTGTTGTTAACTGGCTGGAGACATGGATCTGAATTGAAATTTGGGGTTCAATTAGTGAGTATTGCTTCAGCCATTCTGTAAAATACAGACCTTATACTGTTAAGGAATGAATGGGTATCTTGACTTCCATGTTGTTAATCACTGAGCTAATGGGGCTGAGGAAAAGAGGTGGTTCTCGCCTGCTATTCTTTCTGGAGCCAGGACGACCAGGTATCCATCAAACCCTTCCTGGGCAACACACTCCTTCTCTTAGTCCTCAAGGGCTGGGCAGACGCTCATAAGGAAGAGGAGGAAATGCTGCAGGCTTTAAATTATCAGCAACAGAAGAGAGTCGAGGAATCTGCAGAAGGAACCTGGACAAAGGCTATCAAAGATCTGGAAACTATAAAGCCCTATGGGGGATGACTTAGGGAGCTGGGTATGTTTAGCCTGGAGAAGGGAAGGTTAAGAGGTGATATGATAGCCCTGTTTAAATATTTGAAGGGAGGTCACGCTGAGAATGGAGCAAGTTTGTTTTCTGCAGCTCCAGAGACTAGGACACAGAGCGATGGGTTCAAACTACAGAAAAAGGGATTCCACCTAAATATTAGGAAGAACTTCATGACAGTAAGAGCTGTTCGACAGTGGAACACTCTCCTTCGGAAAATGGTGGAGTCTCCTTCTTTGGAGGATTTTAAAGAGAGGCTGGATGGCCATCTGTACTTTGTTTCTGCGTTCCTGCATGGCAGAAGGGGGTTGGATTGGATGGACCTTGTGCTCTCTTCCAACTCTGTGATTCTACAAAACTCTTGAAATATGCCAGAAATAAATAGGAATTTCCTCCAGTCCTGAAGGCCCTGATCAGCTCTGCCACAGAATAATTAAAAGTTGATAGTAAGGAATTGTACCCAAGCCGCAACGCGATTCAAGCACATAATAGTAACACCAATACTTCTCATCCACAATTGTCTGGTCATGCTCATCCATCAGTTTGCTTGAGTCTCTTAAAAGAGATGATAGTGCCATGAGCCAGAAATGCAAACTACAAAAACTGATTTATTTATTTTTTTTTACATAAAAGTACTGAGGTTTTGTCTTAGGAAAAAAGAGTTTCTAAAACCTCTGCCATTGGATGCCTTCTTAAATCAAATCTTAAATCAAGTTTGGAACATTCCACCAAGCAAATAGGATGGACACAAAACATTTGGGGTCCTTGCCCACTATACAATTATAGCACAATGATTCCATCTAACCTGCCAAGGCTGCATCCTGTGGAATCCTGGGATTTGTAGTTTGTTCAGAAGCACCAGAAGGACTAGCATGGCATAGTGGTTTGAGTGTTGGACTACGATTCTGGAGATCAGGGTTTGATTTCCAGCTCAACCATGAGAACCCACTGGATGACCTTGGGCAAGTCACACACCCTCAGCCTCAGAGGAAGGCAATGGCAAACTCTCTCTGAACAAATCTTGCCAAGAAAGCCCCATGATAAGGTCGCCTTACAGTCACCATGAGTGGGAAACAACTTGAAGGCACACAACAGTAACAACAACAACAACACAGACATCACCTTATTCAAAGATTTAGATTTGGTACAAAACAATTCTGACTCATATTTGATCATTTTTTTATTAGGGGACACCGAACCATGAGCTTCTGAAAAGGTAGCCTGTTTTGCTGTTAAAGCATCACTTCTAAGGAGGAAGCTTTGTAAGGATAATGGTTGGGTTACAGGATAGATTTGAACCACAACTATTTTTGAACAACTTCAGCTTTGCAAAACAATGTTATATAGTTTCAGTGGATCTGGTCCTTGCGCCTATTTAGATTCATCTGAGACAGCAAGGTTTTTGGGTTGTTGTTTTTTAGATAATTTTAACTATGTAATATAATGTATTATTTTTACAATGTATTTGATGTCTATATTGTATATTTTATATGGATTACTTTTGTAATGGGGTATGCCATGCAAATAAACTTATTTACTTACTTACACAGGCATCAGAAGAGAATCCTCTGTCTGCAAATTATAAATATGCCTCTCTAAATTGCTAATCCCAGGTTTCCATAAATGGAACCACTGCAGTTGTAGTGGAATCATAGCACTATAATTATGCAGTGTGAAAGGAGCCTTGGTCAGCAAGAAAGTGTTTTTAATCCACATATGTGATGTAACGAAGCAGCACAAGAAGCAGCAACTACTACAGGCTTTAACAGTCCCAGCAAGATTCTGTACAGAAAAAGTAAATCATGGTGTCCCTGCTCACCTGATAGTTCAGCTGTCCAGATAGCTCCCTTCACTGGTCCGTGGCATAGATAGTAACTTAAAAGTAGGTTACTCTGACTTCCTGCATTGCTTTGACCAAGTTAAGGAGTGAAAGCCAATGTGGTGTGTAATAATCTGAGCATTGTACTATGGCTCTTAGGATCAGGGTTCGAACCTTGCTCAGCCATGGAAATCCACTGGGTGACCTTGGGCAAGTCACATACTCTCAGTCTCTGAGGGAGGCAATGGCAAACCCCCTTTGAACAAATTTTGCCAAGAAAGCCCCATGATAGGGTTGTCGCCTTATGGTCACCATTGAAGGTACACAAAAAACAAAGGCTAAGGACAGGACAGGTACTGTTTTTAAGAGACATACTGTGTGATTAATTTATCACCCCATTCCATCTCCCTTCTTATCATGCGTTGACCTTTTCTGACTGCCACTTGTACTGAAGAAGGTACGTAGAGAGATCTTGTAGCACCTTTGAGACTAACTGAAAGAAAGAAGTTGGCAGCATGAGCTTTCGGAGACTTCAGTCTACTGAGAGGATAGTAGCCAACAAAGCAGATAGAAAGTCTAAACAGGAAAGTTCTCCACTTTCAAGCGAGGCTTGCCTCCTATTATTTTAAGTAACAAGAAGAACTGTTTTTGAGTCCTTTTATTATCTGAAGTCTTCAGTGATAGAAAGCAGTCAATAACCTTCTACAGCAAACCACCTCTTCTCAAGCAACATTCAGGCAACAATGAAATCTGTAGCAAATGTACAAACGACTGTACAAAACAGGGTTTAAAATTAGGAAAGCAGGTGTCCCAAGTGCATTCAGCCTTTAAACTGGGCCATCAATGAGCATCCATCTGCTTCCTGTTATATGTAAAAAAAATAACGTTCATTTCATTCAGTCAACCATATATACTATTCGAACGTATATAATGTAAGAAAATGATAGGCTGATTTCAAATGACGTTAGGTACTATAAAGTCTTACCAGTTTACTCAGAAAGAACAGGCACAATAGTTGTCAATCACAAATACACTCTTTTTTCTTATGAAAAAGGAGCCTTTCACACAACAGAATTACAGCCACTATGACTCCTATGGAATTCAGGAATTTGTAGTTTATTGATATACTAGAGCTCTCTGGCTTAAGAATTCAAAATGACCTCCCTCTAAATTGCCAGGAATCCATAGGATTAAACAGGATTTCAAGACAGTGAAGTAGAATCATAGTACCATAATTATGTAGTGTGAAAAGGACCTGAGAGGTAAATAGCCAAAGGTACAACAGGAAAAATGAGTGCAAGATCAGATTTATTCAATCAGTCAAATACTGTTCAACAATAATTACATTTTTACAACATTAATTAATTAGAATAGAGAAAGATTAGTCACAAGAAGCTACTGTTTTCTAGAATATTTTACAATTTAATTCTTCCCAGCTTTACAGATAAATACAGAAAATTCTGTAGCAGTAATGACTCTTGGAAACTTGTGGCCCATTTAAAGTTTCTATCTTTTGCTTACAAAAGTTCTGGCACCTATGCTTGAGTACTCCTGATCACGTGCAGAGTTCTTCCAAAAATAGAGAGAGGGAACTGAGCATATATAAAACGCCTACTCTTTGTAAAGAGAATGATTTCTTTCCTGTTTAAAGACTGTGGAAACTGGTATCTCTTGTCTCCCAGATCACCTGCCTGTCTACAAACGCAGCAGTTACACAATCCCTGTACTGTTCTGTGTGAGAATACAGGCAACCATTCAACAGGATTTGAGAAGTTCAGCCTCAATTTTTGGTGGGCCAATTCATCAGCTGGTCACCAAGGGACCAAACTGAGTTTCAGCCAGTGCTTTGAAGTGACTAGTGACAAAAAGCAGTTTAGCATAATAATCAATAACTACTATAATTGTAATTATAGTTACAACATGAAGATAGGACACACTGGGATAGACAATAAAGCTGGGGGAAATGGAAAGCTGTAGGAAAAGAGAAAGACTGTATTACAGTTAAATTGATTCAATCAAGGAAGCCATGGCCCTAAGTTTGCAAGACCTAAACAGAGCTGCTGGTGACCAGGGCTCTTGTTCATAGCAGCACTATAAGTCAAAATTGTTGTTGTTGTCATTGTAAGTGCCTTCAAATCATTTCCGACTCATGGGGACCCCAAGGTAAACCTATAATGGTGTTTTCTTGGCAAGATATGTTCAGAGTTGGGTCGCCAGTGCTTTCCCCTGAGGCTGAGAGCATGTGTCTTGCCCAATGTCATCCAGGGGGGTCTCATGGCCGAGCAGGGATTTGAACCCTGGTCTTCAGAGTTGTGGTCCAACGCTCAAACCATTATGCCACACTGGCTCATAAACAGCAAATAACAATAGTTACAAGGAGCATATTATGTCATAGGCCAGTTGCTAGTTGTGTTCTCATTTTTAATAGCCACTATTTGAGTTATTTGCATTTAGTAAGAAAATAATTACTTTTTTTTAAAATGGTAGCCAGAAAAGCAACTAGCTACTCTAAAAGATGGACAGTTATGGCTTTTTAAAGGATAGTTTTCCAAGCTCTGGTGTTACCTCTGATAAAATATTGTTATTACTGGACAGAGAAGGTGCAGTGGAAGGAAAGGAAGTGGAGGAGTCCTGTTATGTAAGTTAAAGCCAGCTCATGTGGCACCCAACAGCAGCTTCTCATGTTTAGCCCATGTTTGGCAAAGGGAACTCAGCAACATGCTCTTTCTAAATATCTGAGCCAGCTATAACATTTCTTGTAATCAATAACTTGCTGGAGATTTCCCCAAAGCATGGGCAGAATTTTATAAAAAAGAAATTAAAAAGAGACATGACATTGCTTTAGCAACTCACCTGACTACTCACAGGACCTCCAAATGGACAGAGCATATTACTACTAAAACAAAATACACTTTGCCATTATTCCACCTTTTCTTCCTTATCAGCTTAGGTTAGGAATTTGTTTATAAACAAATTTATTAATAAATGTATATAACATTATATAGGAACAAACAAGAGCAGTGGGAAAACACAAGAGAGTTGAAAAGACACGTGAACCCAATGAAAAACTCTGAGAGTGAAGCAAAATCATTGCATAAAAAAAGTTTATGTGGAAGGATATGAACTAGGCTCAGTCTAGTAAGTGAGTTCAAACACACTGGACTGATATCAAATACAAATCCACATGGTAATATAATGGGACCTTGTCATCAACATATTTCACCATCCGTGGACAGTGAGCCCTATTGTCCCAAATGGCGGTCTGTGGTGCGCGGTGTGCCACCATTAAGATCAGCAGGACTTGTTTTTTTTTTTATATTTGAGGGAGGGTCCAGAATAAGTCCCTCGCTGATACGAGGATCTGACTGTACTCTGGAAAAGGAGCCAAAGGTGAAGGGGATGCATTACTGGGGCAGCACTGAAAGGTGAGTCAGAAAATAAGCCTCCACTTAGGATAGATTTACATGTACCTTTTCTTGTTCTAAGCTGTGAACTTACAGCAAACATTTCCAGTGTGCCACTGGAAAGCAGCTTCCTCTGTTTTGACGCTTGCCTCTTTTTGCTGTATCTTTCTTGGAGCTGAGGCTCAAAAGCCACAACAAGGCTTTCTTTGCCTCTTATTTCCATCACCAGTTAAAACCACTGCTGGGGTTTCTGCCTCAATCTCTCCCTTTCATTCTGTTCAAAGAACACTTCCCCCATCCAAGAAGCAGTTTTCAAATTATGATGTTAGTTATGCTCTTGCATATTTAAAAAAGGAGGAAGGGAGGGGAAGGGGAAGGAAGAATGTAGCAGCACCTTTAAGTCTAACTGATTTTTATTTTTACATTGGACCTTTGAAGATATAAACCCACTTCTTCTCACTCAAGGTACTTATTTTAAGTAAGCAAATTGATTGGTTTTACACATCAACACTAACTGACCACTATAAAGATCTGAAAGACCTGTATTACCTTATGCAGCCTTTCAAAAATTTAGAGCAAGGATCATGATTTGCATCCTTCTGGAACCCATTACATTCCATTCCACTCCTATCACTATATATATATATATATATATATATATATATATATTTGATACCTGAACAGTTATTATCACTCCGTAAGCATCTGTGGACAGCCAAAAAGCCAAACGAATGGGTCCTTGAACAGATCAAGCTGGAAATCTTCCTGGAAGCCAAGATGATTAAGTTGAGGCTGTCATACTTTGGGCCACATCTTGAGAAGGCACGACTCATTGGAAAAGAGTATAATGCTGGGAAAGGTGGAGGGATGTAGAAAGAGAGGAAGGCTGCATACCAGATAGATGGACTCTATTAAGGAGGTCACAGGTATGAATTTACAGGACCTAAGCAGAGCAGTGGAGGATAGGGAGTCTTGGAGATGTCCCATCTACAGGGTCGCCATGAATTGGGATCGACTCAAGGGCAGTTAACAACAACAAGAAGCATCCCTGGATCCCATTTTGGAAGAAAGGCAGAATATAAGCGCAATAAATAAATAAATAAATAAATACATACATACCTTCGCCCTCCCTTCCTCCTTTTTATGCCTCATCCAATCACTTTCACAAATTGACCTCATAAACACCCAATGACCCTCCAGAGTACTATACTGCTTTTTGAACTGCCCTTTCTTGTTGCCTTCCCACTACATAGGATCTGCCCTATTATTTCTGAACAAGGATCATGCATCCTTGAAATGTACCAGCGCTTTCGGAAAAGTATGACTCTTAGTAGCCACTCCACAGGGCCAGCCTTATTTGCCCCCCTTATTACCCATTATGTTTCGTATAATCCCACACATAAGCTTGCTTAAGCATTACGCATCATGTCTGCTTCAAAAATATATCCTTGCAGGCTAGCTGGCAGTTATTTAAATGGACTTTGTCCTTACAGCACTGTGGAGAACATAAGCTTGCAAAAGAAAATCATCTGGACACACTGTAGTTTAATCTAATTATCAATATGGCTGCCATATTACACAGCTTGCAATCAACACTTATTCATGGAACTTGTCCAAGAACATAACTTCATACATCCACAGAAATACATTAAATCATTAAGAGACCCAGTCCATTCTAATGTATTGCTTCCATACAGATACCAATCAGATTGCTTCACTTAATATACAAGTAGCACAAATTAACTTATTGACTTAATATCCTAAACCTTGTGTTAACAATGTAGTATTAGATGGGTTTTTAAGTACTATGCTTACCAAAATCAAGGGAAGGGAGTTTCAAGGAACTTTTACAATCAACATAGTCGATTACCAATATTCACATAATCATAAGTCAAGAAGAGAGCAAGACCTTCAAAAGGCCAGATAATTTATTGACCCTCCATAGACTCATATTGAACTAGTGTATCACAAGCAGGAAAATGAACAGTAGATTAGATTATGAACTATTTTATGAATCACAGTTTATGTTATTTTTTCCAAATTTAAAGTGCAGAGATAGGAATAGTTTAAAAACCTGCCTTATTTTCCTGCGTATAAGACTACTTTTTAACCTGCAAAATCTGTGGTTAAAGTGGGGGGGTTGTCTTATACGCCGGGTATAAGGATAAGGAGGATAGAGGTGCTAAAACTCTATATTTTGACTGGAAATGGGGGGGTCGTCTTATACGCGGGTTGTCTTATACGCCAGAAAATACGGTACATTTTTTTTATCAGAAGTTTTGAGGATCCACACAGCAAACATTACAAGTGGAATCTGTAACAAACCACTGCACCATGAAGTGCCCATGTTCAAATTTCTGTTGTCTGTTCATGCTCATCCATCAGTTTGTTTGAGTCTCTTAAAAGAGATGATGGTGCCATGAGCCAGAAATGCAAACCACAAAAACTGATTTATTTATTTTTTTACATAAAAGTACTGAGGTTTCGTCTTAGGAAAAGAGTTTCTAAAACCTCTACCATTGGATGTCTTCTTAAATCAAGTCTGGGATTTTGGAACATTCCACCAAGCAAATAGAACGGACACAAAACATTTGGGGTCCTTCCCCACTACACAATTATAGCACAAGGATTCCATCTAACCTGCCAAGGCTGCATCCTGTGGAATCCTGGAGCTTGTAGTTTGTTCAGAGGCACCAGAAGGACTAGCGTGGCATAGTGGGTTGAGTGTTGGACTCTGGAGACCAGGGTTTGATTTCCAGCTCAACCATGAGAACCCAATGGATGACCTAGGGCAAGTCACACGCTCTCAGCCTCAGAGGAAGGCAATGGCAAACTCCCTCTGAACAAATCTTGCCAAGAAAGCCCCATGATAGGGTCACCTTACAGTTGCCATAAGTGTGAAACAACTTGAAGGCACACAACAGCAGCAGCAGCAACAACAACATAGGCCCCAGAAGAAAATCTTCTGTCTGCGGATTCTAAATATGCATCTCTAAATTGTTAATACCAGGTTTCCATAGACTGGAACCACTGCAATTGTAGTGGAATCACAGCACTATAATTATGCAGTGTGAAAGGAACCTTGGCCAGACAGAAAGTGTTATCCACCTATGTGATGTAAAGAAGCAGCACAAGAAGCAGCAGCTACTACAAGCTTTAACAGTCCCTGCAGCATGAAGTGCCCATGTTCAAATTTCTCTCTCCCACACACAATCGATCCGCATCCTCTAAGCACTAGACATAGTCTTCATGGCGTAGTTTTAATGCCCCTTTGTAAGTAGACTTCATGTAAGACTATGTATAGCAGTGCTACTCAAAGTGGTAGTCTGTAGGCTGGTGTCATTGCACAAGTTATCAGTTGTTGGTCCTTAGGTTTCCAGGAAAGAAAGAAACAGTAGTAGCCATGGGTACAAATATGGTACTTGTCTCTGGCACAGGATGGAAAATACTAGTTCTCCAACATCAGAGAGGACTTTATCACACAAGGCTAAAAAGCAAAAATTTAACAGGATAAAAGCATTTTGGACAGTACTTATCACACAACGCCATGTCCACCCTGCTGACGCCTTGTATTCCATTCATTACTGTAGTGTGCCTTTTCATTGATGGGCAAAACCCATCAACAGACTCTCAATTTCACTGTTATTCCATTACTGCCTTCGTGCGATACTCCCTTCCGTGGCAGTGGTGCTTCTCAGACAGTCCCCTTCCCCTCTCCTCCTCATAGTGACCGTGGCTGCCATTACTTTCTCAAAGCTGGCTGATGTATGTGCACATTCACACAACAGTTGGCTCCAGGAAAAGTATTGGCAGCTGGATCACTTGTTTCTCCCCCTTCCTCCACTTCCTCCCAAAGCATCGGGCTGCTGTATGAATGTGCTTTGGGAAAAGAGAAGAGGAGTGGCCACAGCCGGCTTCAGGAAGTGGTGGGCTACTACACCTA